CTTCGCGTGATTAAAATTTCATCCCGTGATGCTGATTAAATTTAATCCTACGCAACTCCACCGCGACGCTGTAAAATGGTAGATTAGTCATTGGAAATTTTCGTGGGTTATCATTATAAGAAAGTATTTTAATTAAACTATTATGAAGAGTTTATTTATATAGTCATGCAATTTTTAATATTATTTACGTTGGCGATAAAAATTCTTTCTCGTGGAAAAGCAATATAAATGTAATTCTCGAAACGCAAATGTCAAAGTAAAATTTTAGCGAACAATATACGATAGGATATAAACATCACAATTTTCAACTAGAGCTTTTTTAATATAATCCAATTAAAACTGCGCTCTTTATTGTGCGATTCCTTTAATGTTTAACAAAATCCATGTATTGAAAAATATTTTAATATTAACATTTACTTTTTTCCGAAATAGAAACGACAAATTTTAAATAGAGAGCGTTAGTAATACAACTCAACATTGTTCTAAAAAGATAATAAAATTATTATATGAGGAAAATAAGAATTAAATAAATTTAATAAAATTCAACATTTTATTGCTGTTTATTAAAAAAAATAATTAAATTACTACACAAAGAAAATAAAAATTAAAAAAAATTATCGGAATTAGAAATGCCTGTCCTAGAAATCCAAGTTTGAATCCTAACTGGATTGATATTTTCTGCAATAATTTCTTTCTTTGTAAGATGCTTATAAATACCAATAATATTAAAATCATTATTAACCTAATAATATGAATATAGAATTCCAACTTCATTTACTTAATGTTGCGTTTTAAAACCGAACGATAATCAACGCCCATCTTTTTATAGAAAATTGATAGCATTATTTTCTCTTTTTAAAAATAATATAACGAAAATGTATTTCATCAAACGACAGATAAACGAAACACACAATAAATTAATAATTTAATGCGATATCTTATGATTATAAAATCTTTGTCAAATTAATAAACGACATAGGAAAAACCAGTAACGATTTCGAATTACAAGATTGCTAAATTGTCTGACGGCAATTGAGTGCAGCAAATTGAGTGTTCTGTGGTCATCCACAAGATTGCATGTTAAGAGTCGCAAATGCAGGGATCGTTTCCTATTTATTACGACTTGTCAATGGTGGTCTAACAACGTCTAAGAAAACTTTCAATGCCAATTCACGCGTCATAGCTCCTTAACAATAGAGCGAATAATCACTTCCGCCTATTATTCTACAATTTTTCGATTATATATTTTTAGTCCAGTTTCGTTTATACTTCTATTACGTTCTCATATTTAAATCATATAAGTCACAAAATGAAGAATAATCAAGGATATATGATCTTTTTATTTGTCACTTCTTCAAAAATCTTCGGTGATGCTAAACTGGAGCCGACGTGATGAAAATGCAGCCAAAATCATGTACTAATTTCGTATTAGTTTTTATACATCCCAATATAATTCAGCACGTTTATTTTAGATTGTTTTTTACTTTATATTATGTATGGTATCAGAGGAAATAGGTAAGAACTTTGAAAAATGAGAAAATCAAAGATATTATGATTTCAAAAGATCACACAGACTGTAGCTTAAGATAAGTATCATGAATTGATGAGATACATCAATTTCATTTTACGAATAAATCACAGCTATTTCCATGATTCTGTTCCGAGGCTTGTGATAAAAGTTTTCAGTAAGTTTCTTTGAGAAAAATTTTAAATTCCCTCGAAACTATGAAAAGAGTTCGCTATATCCAGCTTAGAATAATAGGAAAACTCATTTTTTTGTTCGAAATTAATAAAATCGCATCATTGAAAAAAATTAATTTTTAGAGTAAAAGTATGTTTAATATCTTTATAGTTAGAAAAAAATTTGTGCAGTTTTCAAATACGCTAAATAAATTTAAGTCGAAATAATTACAAGATCTTTTTCGAATATTTTTGGCGAGATTTTTTTCAAGGAAGCTAAGAATATTATGGACCGTTTAATGTGAATGGAACACAAAACTTATAATTATCACACTGCGTTATTCGGAATGTTAAAAGGAAAATAGGAATAAAAATAAATGAGAGATGGCAAGAGAAAGAAACAAGACAGATGATGAAGGAAAAAGAAGAAAAAGCGTGAGAAGTAGAGAGAATGAAGAAGGTAGCTGGTGAAGGATGAAGAGAGAGAGAGAGAGAGAGAGAGAGAGAGAGAGAGAGAGAGAGAGAGAGAGAGAGAGAGAGAGAGAGAGAGAGAGAGAGAGAGAGAGAGAGAGAGAGAGAGAGAGAGAGAGAGAGAGAGAGAG